GCAGCAGCAGCAGCATTACCTGGGCGCTTGTTAGAAAGCAGAATCTCGACCACCCTCAACCTACTGAGGAAGAAGCAGAAGATACAGCAGAGGTGAGGGCAACTTCCAGATGTGGTCATAAAAGCGATCGCAGCATCTGCCCTTGGCTCTCAGGTTGCTCATTCTAAGGGAAGCCAGCCATGAGGGACGCTCCAGCAGCCCTGATGTGGAGAGGAACCCAGGTCTCCCGCCAATAGCCAGCACCAACTTGTTAGAGATCATGTGTGTGAGCCACCTTGTAAACAGATTCCCTACCTTCATTCAAACCTTCATGTGACAGCAGTGCCATGTGTCATCTGACTACAACTTTATGAAAGGTCCCAAGCCACCTAACTACTGCTCCAAGCCACTTGCAATTTTCTAACCCACAGAAACTCTGAGAGATCATAGGTATTGTTTTTCTAAGCCACTGAAATTTGGGATCAGTTGTTACATAGAAATGGATAGCTGATAGATTTCTTTGAACATATGCTAAGTATGTGTCACTCAATAATAAAGGAAAAAGAAGGACGATGAAACCCATTCACCATAGGTTACCAAAACCCTAACCCAACTCACTCCCATCGAATCATTTCCGACTCCTCTTGACCCTATATAAGACTTGTATAGCTTTACAGGAACAGACAACCCTATCTTTCTCCCCTGGACCAGGTGGTGGGTTTGAACCCCCCTTGTGGTTAGGAACCTAGTGCTAAATCAGGGCTCCAATAGAGGCCACAAGAAGGTGACATCGTCAGCCACTGGGAAAAAAGAGGGTTGGAGTAAAATAGCAAAATAAGACACAAAGTTGGTTAATACCCAATGAATGTATGACCTTTGGGATTATCATCTCTTACAGGACACAAATCATTTATCACTAAGCTAGCTTCTGAAGCACCCAGTCCAGAGTCTGGACCCTAACTGATAACAAATAATGAGTCAAACCTGGTTACTTTCCACAGGTGTTAGGTGGATGAAGTAGTCCTGTGCTAAAACACACACACACGTGCACACGTGCGTGCTGTCATCTAGTCAATGACCCTTAGCAACCTTATAGGACAGGATAGAACTGCCCCTGTGGGTTTCCAAGACTGTAACTCTTCCGGGGTAGAAAGCTTGACTTTGGTTTTGAACTGCCAACCATGCAGATCTCAGCCCAACTCATAACCTCTCCACTGCCAGGGACTCCTTTGTGAGACTGAACATATGCAATCATCTTTGGTCTCATTAACAAAGATTTGATAGCAATTCTGCATTCGATAAAACACTAATGAATTCTTGCTGTTTTATGAAATACTTTAATTTGTAGAATTGATTCATTTACTTATTTATTCATCCAATAAATATTGGGCAGTGGCATAGTCGCTACAAGTTGGACTACTAACCCCAAGGTCAATAGTTCAAAACCACCAGTTGCTCCTCAGGAGAAAGATGAGGCTCTCTACTCACACAAAGAGTTAACACCCTCAGAAACCCATAGGGGAAGTTCTACTCTGCCCAATAGGGTCTAGCGAAAGGCAACTTATAATGGCCCTGGATGTTCTGGTACAAATAGTTGGAAATGACAATAAATCAGAAATACACACTGACAGGCTAGCTCAGGAAAATGTCACAGCTATCTATGGCAAGAAGGTGCCCTGGTGGTGTAGTTGGGCTGCTAACCTCAAGGTCAGCAGTTTGAAACCAGCAGCTGAGGTTTTCTACACCTGTAAAGAGTTACAGTCTCAGAAACCCACAGGGGCAAGGCTACCCTGTCTGACAGGGTAGCTATGCATTTGCATTAACTTGATGATCATGAAGGTTTTAGTAGTAGTAGTAGTAGTAGTATCTATGCCAACATATGAAGAGTGGTCATTGCATATCTTTTCATCTCATCTTAACAGCATGGCTAGTGCTGTCTACTTGAATGCTGGCTGGAACGAGATGAATGACTATGGATTTAGCTCCCCAGGGAATGACCAGGCTACACTGTCATCAAAGCCTTGCATTATCCATTTTGTGCGATTTTGGGGTGGCAGGAGATGCCAACAATACAAGTGAGAAGTCAGTCGAAAGACTTCTATGAAGTCATGTGTCAGGCTTCCGATGTGAAGCTGTGCAAGATAACTCCAGGACAGTGGGCACACTGTGCAGACACCCAGGCATCGACCCCGGGGATTCTGGGAACACCAGCAGTGAGGACACACAGCTGTGAGGGCATTGCCCTCAGCCACCGGGAACTGCCTCCTGAGAGGGGATACCCCTCCCAGAACAAGGACAGCAGGTGCTGGGGTGCCAAGACAAACTGGAATGTAGGGGCTCGAGTGTAGGGACGGAGGGGAGCAGGAGGAGGAGAAGGCGGGGAATGGATGACACACACTTGCCCCCTTCATGGAATCTGTGATGTTTAATTCCTTAAAAAAAAAAAAGGATCTGAAGCAAATATGGTACAAGGTTAAGAATTGGTAAAAATCGTATGTTACTAAACAAGCAGTTGGTATGTTATTGTCTATTCTTTCGTGCATCTTGAAAGTCATTATGGTAAAGTGAAATTTCCAAAAGCTATAATGACATCAACTGGAGTGGCAAGATGGGCATTTTCCTGACTCCAGGCCAGGGGTGGGGTGAGATCAGCCCCGCTCTGTGCCAGGCACTGGGCCACGTACTTCCACGCCTGGAAATACAGGTCCTCTTACCTGGTAGGCAACACCTTCCACATTTTCAAGGATCATTTCTCCAGATTTCAGGTTGGCCCAGGCTCTACTATGTTCCATCCTTCACCGGCAAATGCCTGGTTAGGCTTCCTCACTGCGGGGCAGGACTCACGGACAGCTTTTGCGGAGTCCCCGTGGGGAAGGCAGGGAACTTCTCCCCAGACTTACCTGAGCTCCCCAAGATGCACATCATCTGCCCGCTCTCGATGTACAAGGAGACATCTTTGAGGATCTGCCTGTCCCACTGCTGCCGGCAGGAGGTGAGGTCCCACCAGGGCCTGATGTGGTCGCTTCCAAGGACACCCCATGGGAAAGGGCAGCATGAGGTCTCCGAAATGCCCCGCACCCCCTCCCCAGCCGTGCTCAAGGCTTTGCCCACCCTAGTGCTCCCTGGACAGGTTTCTCAACGTGTTTTCACATCAACGTCCCCATACTGGTGACAAGGCAGTGAGTGGCTGAAGGTCCTGGTCTGTTTAAGGGCCTGCTGCTAGCTGCTCCGCCCGTTCTCTGTCTCGGGGACTGGGGCAGCAAACAGGACGCTGCCTCTCTCTGAGCAGAGGCAGCATTCCTTCCCCACTCCCCAGCCCCACAGACAGGAGGAGGCGGGGACCAGGAAGGCAGGGCACCACCCCACACTTTTTGGTTTGTTTTACCTTGGCTTTGTATCACAGTGACGTAGACCCAACAAACACACGCTAGTTCAGTAACTGCTGCGTGTATTATCAGGGAGCTTTTTAAAGAGCTCCCTGCCTCAGCCTTGGTGGGAGGAGGGCCTATTTGCTGTTGCCCCTCATTTCCCCATTGTGGCCCTTCCCCCATTCTCTCCCACCCCATCCCCTAAGAGGAGAGCCCCACGCCCTCACGAATGGCCCCATTAGACAGAAAGATCAGCAGAGGCCCATTCCCCGCTAGGCCATGCATGTCCCTAAGCAGAGGCCCCTCAGCGGCTCTGGCTCCCAGCTGAGGTGGAGGGAGGGCTCGGGCAGTGCCTTACCTGACACTGTAGGAGGCATGGAGAACGCCCAGGCTGTGGCGGGGCTGGGAGGTAGCTGCAGGAACCTCCTCTGGAGCCCCCTGGGAGCTGCTGTTTGCTTGGAGTTCCGGGGACCCCCGGTGGGTCCACGATGAGAGCTCACTCATGGCCAACAGGGCAGAGCCAGGCCGATTCCCTACAGCTGAGGAGTTCTCAGCGGCCCGGCCTGGCCTCTCCCTCAGCGGGACTGGGGTTAGGTCACCGATGCCATTATCTGATGTACTTTACCCAGAGCGTCCTTATCTTGACAACGGGCAGAATACACGTGTGCCCTGGTGGGAGGGTTGGCCAGAGAGGAATGCTGGGAGAGGCAGAAGGTGGTACAGAGAGGGCGGGCCAGAGGTTGGCCGCTTTGGAGAGGAGAGAGAAAGCCCCGGGACACAGACAGCAGCAAACCTTCCGGGGAGCTGTCCCGAGGGGCAGACACTGCTGAGCCCCATGGCTGAGACGGTCCCGGCCAAGCAAGGGCTGTGGAAAGGGGCTGTTTCCCAGGATGCCTCGGTGAGTGAGGGCCTCCCCTCAGTCCTGGAGGGAGGGAGGGAGGGATCAGGCCAGTCAACTGCGCAGCCTTCTTTCCTTCCTATCTTTTTTCCTTCCTCCCTTCCTTCCCTAGAGCCTTTCTATCCTAACTCACCATCAGGACAGGTGGCAAAAACTCTACCTCCCAGGAATCAAGGAGCCGGGGGCAGCAGACCCAGAGGCAGGCCTCTGACGTCACCCTCTACAGGGAAGTGATGCCTGGTGGGATTCTGGCTGCTTTAGCTCTGACCAAACAAGACTTGGCCGCAGAAGACTCTGCCTGTGCCCCCCCCTACCCCACCCCCACCCCCCTACCCCCCGCGGCCCTGGAGCGGGGCTTGTGAGGCAGAATCCCATGCTGGTGAGATGATGAGGCAGATGACAGGTGGCGTTTACGAGGACATCCGAATGGATGCTCAAAATGCCAGGTGGCCGAGGTGGAGGTACAAGTTTTCCTCCCCCTTCCCCTACATTCCCAGAGAAGTGTTTCCTGGAGAAAGGGCCTTTGACAGGAACCGGGCTGTGGGTAGCATTTGAATCAGGGGGCCAACCGGGAGGGCAGAGGGGAAGCAGACCCACCACACATACTCCCCACTCCTCTACCCTCTTGTGTTGGCCTTCGGGGAGGAGAGGGAGGGAAAAACAAGAAGGATCAAAGACACCACACCCTACAGGGAGGGCCACAGACCTTGAATCGAGAGGGTTTAACCTCAGCAGGACCCCATCTTTCAGTGCTGTATCCACAGCAAATGACCGTCTGGATATTCCAGGGGGCCCCCACCTGCCCAGAATGAGCTGTGAAAGCAATGCCCGCAGCCTGCCCAGGAGGAAAGCCACGGGGTGCCTTGGGGACACTTGCTGCCTATAAATTCTGGCAGCTCAGCCGCCATGACTGAGAAGCCAAAGAATGGCTCGACTGGGCAGATGCTGCCATTTTCTGATTCTCCTTCCCCAGGGCTGTTGCCAAGTGTGGTCTGCCGCTAACCTTCATGGCACCCGAAACAAGAAGTGGGAGGGGGGAGGGCACATAGCGTGTCTAGAAATGGGAAAGTTGTCAATTAGAATAAAAGATGTTTTCATTAGATCAGTTCTGTCCTCTTGCTTGACTACGCCTTCCCTAGAAGCTCTTACTGCTGTTGACACCAGAGGGTCAAATCCCATGCCAAGCACCTCAGGTGGCAGGGTGGAAGGGCCCCAGTGGGCTTTGTAGGCTGTCACCATCATAGGAGGCCAGGTCTTCCTTCTACCAATCCACTGAATGGCTTTGAACTGCCAACTTTCGGTTAATGACTTAGTGTTTAACTGTAGTGCCACCCACGACCCAGAAGGCTGGGTTCACCTTGAGAAACTCTAAGACCCTTTGGAGCGGGGTGAGGAGCCCCGGTGGTAAAGCGGGTTAGCATTCGGCTGCTAACCAAAAGGTCAGCAATTCAAACCCACCAGCGGCTCCATGAGCGAAAGACGAGGCAGCCTGCTTCTGCCAAGATCGCAGCCTTGGAAACCATCGGGGCAGTTGGACTCTGTCCCATGGGGTCGATCGGAGTTGGAACGACTGATTCCATGGCAGTGGTTGGGGTTTACTTAGATTGGCATTCACGAGCAGGTGACTCTCCACTCAAGCTTTCAACCCGTCCCCTTATCTGCCCACCCCAGCTCTTTCCCGCCTTACTCCTGTGTGGACCACCCAGCCTACCTCTCAGATTCTATCCATGCACCTCCAGCAGAGGGTGCCTGGTCAGTCGGCACTTTGGCCCTGGGGAGGAGAGACCCACGAAGAGGCCCATGCCGACCCTGGGGAGGCACTCGGGGCCGTTTGCACAGGAGATTCTGGGGTGGTAAGTGTCCTTGGCCCAGAGGCTCCTCCTCTCTGGGTGGCAGCGTGGCCAGTGGAGGACAAGCGCTCTGAGAGAAAAGGAAACTGAGGAGCCATTTAGTAGCTCTGTGACCTTGAGCAATTTCCTTCACTACGCTGAGCTTTGAATGTAAAGCGGTGAGGAGAGTCAGCTTTATGGTGCAGGCCTGTAAGGAGCATCGAATGAAACAGTGGACAGGACGCGGTCGACAGAGTGCCCTGCACATGAACACTGGAAAATTACTTGTAGATTGCAATTATTAGTCAGATCGAAGCCCAGGCCTGGAGCTCGCTGTCATGGACTCGGTTCCGACTCAGAGCAGCCCTGCAGGACCGAGTAGAAGTGCCGCAGTGGGTTTCCGAGACTACAACTCTGTACAGCGGGGGTCCAAGGCCGGACCTTTCTCCCACGGAGCGGCTGGTGGTTTGCAACTGCCGAGGTTGAGGTGAGCAGCCCAGTACACAACCGACTGAAGATCTCGTCAAGGCCCCGTGGCCACACCTTCAGCCAGAGCCTCAGGAGCCCTGCAGTAGGCTGACCATGAGGTACCCCACCCAGCCGCTCCAGAGCGCAGGCTCCCACCTGAGAACAAGGCCCCATGTCTGTGATCCTGGCTCAGGAACGTGAGCCCGAGTTAATACTGAAGAAATTACAGTGTCGCCCCGCAGCAGCCGAGCTGGTTGCCTACAAATAAATCAGCTTTTGCCTTTTTGGGGTGTCACCTGTCAGAAAACCCAGTGATGATCTGACAGTCATGCTGATTAAGATGTCAGCTGAATAGATATTTAAGTATTTGAAAGATGCAGAGAATTTGTCAAAACTCCAGGAAGAGTCTAACAAATCCTTCCTGGGAGCCAAGGAAATTTTTGAATGGAGCCTGTGCCCAACCCAGGCTGGCATCCTCCTTCCTGGGAGCAGAATTGCCTGAGCAGCTCCCAGAAGGCACAGCCCCATGGGTGGTACTTGGGGGCCTAGGATGGCCCAGAGAGGCCACACGGGACTCAGGGAGGAAGGGAGGCTGAGGGCCACCTGGGAGCAGACAGCCTGCCCTGTCACCTTCCTCCTTCTCCACCTCCCCTGCCTCTGCCACCTTCTCAAAGCACAGCTTCACCCCTCCACATACTGCTTCCAGCCCCCAAATGTCCATCCTTCCATCCCCAGCAGTCTCCCCACATCCAAATCTAGCCTGGAAGTGTGTGCCCAGAAAGTAAAGTGTGAGTGAATTCATCATCTTGTAAAAACAAGCAAACCAGCCATTGCCCTGGTTCATGGCCACTCCTTGTGGATCGGAGTGAAACTGCTCCGGAGGGCTGTCTAGGGCTGGTGCTGCAGAAGGAGCCGGCCAGGCCTCAAAATGCCAACCTTTGGGTTAGCAGCTGCTGCTTAACTGCCGGCAGCATCCAGGAGCTCCCCTCTTCCTGTCCTAAGTGATAATGACTCTGTAGCCCTCCGATGGATATTAATATATCTAACACACACGGTGCTTGTTAGTGCAAATGAATTGCTGACAACGTGATCGAATTTCAGATCGTGCAACAGCATAATACTTTTCTGTATTACGCGTGCCGTGTGATGATGGCAGGAGGCAGTGAGTGAGGGTGGGGCCGCAGAGGCAGTCTGAGCTGCTCTAGGTCTTCTGGAGAGCCTCCTTCTCTGGTGTCTTTGGTGTGGACCCTCCACCCTCCTCTGCCCTCACTGCCTACCCCACCACCCCCGCCTCCTTTGGAGACCCTGGCAGCTGGGGGCCGAGGGGGAGCTAGAATCGCGGGGTGGTGCCCTGTCTAGGCCTGGCTCTCTCCGTTCAGTCATCCAAGTTGCAATCTTTCAGACGAAGTGGTCTGAGGAGCCATGAACTCTCATGGACCCACCCTTCAACTCGATCGTTGCCAATTGCTTTTACCACCTTATCTGAGCATTCACAGCCCAGTCGTTAAAAAAAAAAGTGGGAGTGGGGTAACAAGAAATGTTGGTGAGCGTGCAGAGACTGGAAACCTCATTCGCTGCTGACAGGCCTTGTCAAACAGTGGGGCCGGGTTGGGAGTGGAAACACTCTTTTACCCCTTGATCCCTCTACTTGGCATATGTCCTAGAGACACAAGAGGCCTGACATGAGTGGAGGCATGCACCCCCATGTTCATTGCAGCACCATTCACATAGCCAGAGGAGGCAACCAACCCAAATCCCATGAGTGGGAGAATGGCTCAGCAAACAGCAGACTATGCAGCTTCAAGACTATAATGAGTCTTTGAAGCAGTCCCAGGCCCCGGCTTTCACAGGTTTAAGTGCACAGCCGGTCAGCTCTGAGCGCTTGTTACGGAGATAACTCGCCCCTGAAGAAGGTATTTCTCTCTCCCTCATCTTTCTGCCCTTGGAATCAACTCACAGCTACCTCCAAACCCGGTTGCTTCACGTGAGGTGCCCGTGGGTGCGGACCAAGGGCACAGATGCCCTGATCCTACACTGAGGTCATCCTGGCTCCACTGCCACCTTCAACCCCATCGCCCATCTTGCTCGCTACAATCTAAGCTCCCGGGGGGAACGATTGTGGTCACCTTGACCTCCCAAACCCTGAGCCTGGAGTGTGATGGATTTTCCCCATGGGTGCTGGGTGCTTGATTGATCAACTGTGGGGCGTTGGTTGGAGACACAGCTCTGGCGGGGAGAAAGCTGGAGTTTGGGGGAATCACGCTTCACCCTGAGCCACGGACTGCAGGAGAAAAATGACTACATCGGACTCAGACACCTTTGGCCAGGCCTCCTGTGATTTCCAGGATGGGACTGGGAACATAGAAGAACATTTTTGGCCTAACTGTGGGATTCCGACATTCAGATGGTTACAAGCACTCAGCGCTGACCGGATGTGCACTTAAACCTGTGACAGCCGGAACGCAATGGGGCTGCCCTAGCTTTGGGGTCCTGCAAGTTCTTTCCCTTTGATAGGCTGTAATCTTACTAATTTTCTAGATCTCTTGCTGAAGGAAAATATCTTGAGTGTTTCTTCTGTCAAGGGATTTACTGTGCATGCATTCAAACATACCACCACCCCCAAGAACTGAGAGGGGACTAGCTCTGAAAGCCCCAACCACACAACTCATGGAAATGAGACATGACTTTGACGGGATGGAATCACCGGGCACATCAAACATCAGCTTGTTCACAGCTGCTTGTCACGAGGAGACATTAACCCAGAGCCAGGGAGAGAATAGCCAGGTGTGAGGCTGGCCAGCTCCCTGTTCAGGCCTCCCAGTATGGAGTCTCTCAGAAGCCCCTCAGCCCAGGGCTGCTTCAGGCACTGCCATCCCGAGGCTCAGGTCCCCTGGGATGAGCTGTGCCCGGGACAGCCCGGGCCTTCCCTGTCAGAAAGGAGAGCTATGTCCTCGTCCACAATACTCTTTCCTCAAAGCCTTTAGGCTCCTGTCCCTCACCCGCACTGCTGCCCGCCCTCCGGTCTCCTCCTCCTCTCCCATGTCCTCAATGGCTTCCAGAAGAGCTCCCTCACCTGCCATGTCCCCCAGCAGGGCCTCCAGGACAGCTTGTTCTCCTCTGAGAGTGACAACAGCCTGTACTTCACCTACAGCGGTCAGTCCAACACCCTGGAGGTTCGAGACCTCAGCTACCAGGTAGGGTTGCGCCTGATTGACAGCGGGTGGAAGAGGGACGGTACCCCCGACACACTCACACACCCAAGTGGAAGGGGAGGGTACCAACTCCATGCAGGCTGCCCCCCAAGGATGACTGGGCAGCGGGGGTGGGGGGCAGAGTCTCACCAGGTTGAGCCTACACACGCTAGGGCCAAGCGTCACCGTGACTCTGCTCAGCCATCAGCTACTCATCTTGTACCTGGAGGTTGAGAGGTGTAACTAGCGAATGGGACCCTTATTCAAATGTAAAGTAAAATGTATGAACCTCTGGGGGGAAATATTTATCATTATTCTTAACTGGATATTCTGAAATAATTTTAGACTTCTGGAAAATAGAAAATAGTAGAGAAAGGTCCCGGAGACCCCCTTCCCCAGATTCCCTTAAGTTAACATCTTACCTGAGCCTAGCACTTAATCACTAATGGTATACACCTGGTGGCACACTGAGTGGGGCAGGTAGAGGTCAGCGGTTCAGCGCCTCCAGCTGCTCTGCAGGAGAAGGCGGAGGCTTTCTGCTCCTGCAAAAATGCACAGCCTCGGGAGCCCTAGGGCGCCGTTCCTCTCTGCCCGATAGAAGAGTGACCGTGAGTCAGAATTGGCTGCATGGAAGTGGCCTTTTTTAACCTTAACCTTACTCCACTCCACCATGTTAACTGCTGTGTGACCTTGAGCGAGTTACTGAAGTGCTCTGAACCTCATTGTAAAGCAGGGATTGTAGTAGTACCTGTGTTGCAGGTTTGCAATGAGGACTAGATGAGGCGGTGCAGGTGAAGCAATAAAGTACATAATAAGCACTCAAGTAATTGTTAGGAGATGATAATAATTATCAAATGGAGATGCTGTTTTGCTTTAGCTTGCATCTCATTTTTGTTCTGCTATTGTGCATGCTAGGAGCCCTGGCAGCGTAGTGCTTACATGTTGGGCTGCTAACTGCAAGGTCAGTAGTTTGAAACCACCAGACACTCCAAGAGAGAGAGAGACAGGGCCTTCTACTCCCATAAAGAGTTACAATCTCAGAAACTCACAGGGGAAGTTCTACCCTGTCCTAGAGAGTGGCATCACTCCACGTCAGTGCGTTGCTTGTTAGTTTGTTTTATTGCCCCTGCTTTCTGTCTCCCCTGGCCTTCAGATGTGGAAATGGCGACGCGAGGTTCTCGACATGGCTGGGTTCAGGCTCCCTGTTTGGGAGGACCTGGGGTGGGGGGTGGGGTCCCTTCTGTGTATTAAAAGGGAGATGTCTCCGGTGGAGTGAGGCCACACCAGGCCGAGGGGAGCGAGACAGACAGAAGTCAAATCAGGCCTCTGCTGCATTCAGCTCTTTGCGGAACCTTCTGACATCTCCCCACAGGTGAACACAGCCTCCCAGGTGCCGTGGTTTCAGCGTCTGGATCTGCTAAAGAAGCCTTGGATGTCACACAGCAGCCAGGATCCTCGTGAGCTGGGCATCCAGAACCTGAGCTTCAAAGTAAGAAGTGGGCAGATGCTGGCCATCATCGGGAGCTCAGGTAAACACGGGACCGTGGTCTCTCTCTCTCCTGGGATGCAGGATGGTCCCTTGGACAGATGGATGCTTCTTAGAGGACGCTTTATTGGATCCTGGGGAAGATAATATAGCAGAGAGGTTGAGGGCACAGGTTCTGGGTCAGATGGACCTGGGTCCAAATCCCAGCGCCTCCACTTACTAGCTTTTAGGTTGTTGCTGTTATGTGGGTAGAGGGTCCTTGGGGTGCTTGTTATCCACCTGAAACTACACGTCTTTAGGTGACTCTGCATTATCTTCTGTGTGACAAGACAAAACCCTTTCCCAAGATATGCTGTCTCAGACCCAGTGTTCTTTTCAGAGCGTTCCTCCAACCACAATGGACCCTGGTTCAGATCAGTCCTTCCACAGATGCCCGGTTGTGTTCAGACAGCTGGTAGACCTTCAACTATCTGCAAAGCTCCAGATTCTTGAAGTGACTCAGATAGTGACTGCCTGGGACCAAATTTAAAATTACAGAATGTTAGAGGTGAAGGGGGTGGAGGTGTTGGAGAACAGAATACAGCTTGCTTCTTCCTTCTATTTCCCTCTCCCCCCTTCTCTCAACTTGGAAGTTATCTCCTCTGTTTCTTCTGGTGCTTACCCCTTTCCATCCATCGTGCACATCGTGATCTAAAGCCACGGGAAGCTCCACGACCTACCAGCCCAATAGAAGAGCCCAAGGATGCTTCCCCATGACACACATTCTTCCTGCTTGTGCTCGTATAGAGTGGCATGGCATTTGTGTGTTGTTCTAAGCCTCACCAATTAACTGCTATCACTGTAATTATTGTATACCATGAATGTTTGTTTCAATTCCTTTTATGTTTACTTGTATCTCACTCTCAACATTCCTGCTTCTCTTATACAACATCTCTCCGGATTTAATTTCTCCTTTCTTAAGGTACACCCTCCGGAAATATATCAGTCTGCTGGTAGGGAACTCTCTTTTGTTTCATCGAGAACACCTTATTTGACTGACTTCCGAATGACAGTTCAGCTGGGTATATAATCCCCGGCTGACGTTTATGTTCACTGGGCACTTTGAAGGTGCTATTCTAAAACCCTTCGACCTTTTAATGCCTATGAAGCATCTGTTGCCCATCTGAAGGTCTCTTTGTAGAGATCTGTGTTCTCTTGTTTCCACTCTGGCTGAGTTTGAGATGCTCTTGGCATCTTTGTTTTCTGCAGTTTCCCTCTGATGGGTCTGGGTGTAGATTTCTTTTTATTTACCCAGTTAGGGTGTCTTGAGATTCCTGGTTCTGAGAATTCATTCTTTTCATCAGTGCTAGAATCGTCTCTTCAAACATTTCTTTCCTCATTCTTTTCAGTCTTTCCATCTGGAAATCATTTGAGATACACAAGAGTCCTTTTCATTTTACCCACCTTACTGCCTTCTCCCTGCATTTCCATCTCACGGACCCTTGTTCTCCTTGGCAACTTTTTCAGATCTCTGGCCCAGTCTGTTCCTTCTTCTGTTGTACCAAATCTGCTGTTTAGATGGTTTATTTTCCGTTTCATTATTTTTTCCCCTTCTGAATTTAGTAACATTTACTTTCTAGGAATTCTTCTTGAGTCTGTTTAAAATTTACCTGGCCTTAAAAACAATAACAATAGCATTTTCCCCCCTTGCTCTTTCTTTCCATAGCTTTCATGTAAACATTTTACATTTTGGATGATAATTACACTATTTAAAGTATCTGGGGTCTGATCCTAGGGTACCTTGTTTTTGCTGACTTCCACTTCTGGTGGCTGGGCGCGTTCAGTAGCCTGTGGTTTTGCAAAGCGCACTCATTTGGCTTCCCTCCCTCTGTGGGGATCCTGTGTGGTCTTTGCTGAGGATACAGCTCTCCTTAACTAAACAACGTCTCCTGTTTGCCTCTGCCAGACTTCCTAGTACACACTGCTAAGTGAAGAGTTCTCTTACTTTCATTTTATAGTCTGCCGTGTCCAGGCCACACAGATAATACAAGTTCAAACTCCAGATCCATGTGCAAATAGTCCCAGAATCATGCATTCTTAGAGAGAGTTCTTTTTTCCTACCTACAGCTCAGCCCAAGACTGACAGACTTCCTTGTCCCTAAGTCTGTGGGCTGGGATTTTTTTCCTAGCTTATCCTGCCCTGGAGGGCTCATTTCACTGGTTCTGCTTTAAGGCTGGACTCAGCTTCCTCTTTCCATCTTGAACCCACCACCTGGCCCTTTGTTCGTATGCAGGCATTTAAAACTGTGTCTTCTGGGCTGAAGCAATTAGAGAAGGTAGTCTCTCTCTTCCCTGTTACCACTTTATTGTTCAGGGTGGTTTGTTCTGTTTTGTTTTCTCATTTCTTTCTTTTTTTTTTTTTTAACCCTTGGAATTGTCTCTAACTTTCTGAAAAGTCAGCTATGCAGTCGTGTGCAGGCACCACACACAATGCACACAAACACGCAAACACATGCATGATACACACATATACACAAAACACACACACACGCACATGCACACACCTTCCTTTGACAGATGAGGATGCTGAAGACCAGAAGCTGAGTGGTTCTCCTACAGGCACACATTTAATGTAGACCTGGAATGGGAACTTTGGTTCCTGGATTAAGATGCTTTGGGTTGTCTCAGCCTTGCATAGTTTTAAAGCACTTTTTACCTTTTCATTAATCATTTCCACAGGTAGAGATTACTCAATTTCTTAAATGCCTTTTCCTAATGTTTAGTCTCCTCATAGAGGAGTTCTGTTTATTGTCTAGCCAAAGATCAAGTGGGATGATACATGGAAGTGGACTTTGTAACTGCAGCATGCTTACAAACACACAGTCACTAAGTCCCTCCCACCCTGGCCCCGCTTCTTCAATTCGGACTTCAGAAAGAAAAATTCCATCAGAGACCTGTTTTCTTTTCTTATTATAACTCCCGATACCTTTTCTTGTGATATATTGTTTTTATTTTTCATGAATTGAGCTTCTAGGGAACACCTGGGATCTTACCAGGTGCTTCCACAAAGCCTTAGCGTCCTCCTGGTTGATAAGTGTTACCTGGATTAGCTATTGGTGACCCTGATTTATGGTGGCAGAAAGTGACATTCAGAGCAGGGACTATCCTACGCATAAACTCCGAGTCTTTTGATTCCAGGTTGAGTGCTTTTTTTAGTATCAGCTTTTTACTTGGCTGAGATTATTGGTATTGTCTTAAAGCCAGGCTTATTAAGTATGCTTCCTATAACACTTGCTCCTCTCGCTCTGTTTTACAAGAATGCTGATCATACATTAAACAACCACGAAAACACCAATACAATTAAAACAGCCCCCGCACTGGTTTATCCTTCGGACTCAGTTCCATCGGTGTTTTCCAGGGAGTAGATGTACTGAGGTGGATGGTCTCAGCCTCCGTGGCCCTGGTCCATTTGGGGTCTGCTCAAGGAGTCTTCCTGACCAAACCTTGCGTGACAACGTGGCCTCTCTGCTCTCTGACTGGGAATCCTGACAAATTTGCAAAGTCCCTGGCATGGCATTCCTAGCACCCATGACCTGCTGTCTGAGGCTGAGCAGGGAGCAGGTCACAGCCCCTCGCTGGTCGATCTCAGATGGAAGCTTCACTGACATGCTCCGGGGGCTTCACTGGGGCAGCAGGACCCTTCATGCATGTTCCCCCCAGAGCATCTGTTGGGTCAGAGGAGGATCCCATGGGGGAGGTGTCTAGATTCTTGGGTGTTTTACATTTTGCACCAGACTGGCGCTACAGGAGTCTGGGGGTTTCCCTTGGGTGGCACTTGGCAAGGAGGCATCATTATGTGGTGTTTGTTGTGTGCTGGGACTTTGATGCTTTGAACAAACCTCGGAGAATGAGCCTACTGCCTTGCAAAAACAACATGTGGTCAAGAAACCGAGATGGTGCCAGGGGGCGTCAGGCAGAGTTCGTTCCTATTAGCAGCAGGGTATCCTCAGCGTGTGACCCCACTTTGTGAACATCACAGTTTCAGCAGCCGACAGCCAAAAGGCTGACCAGGAGCCTCACAGAGTGAATGCTGTGGGACAGGACATCCAATTGAACGCTTTTGTTCCCAAACTGACAGCAGTCAATATGCCATTGGGAAGAGAGCAGCACTTCAACCATTTCTGAGAGGGTCAAAGTACCAGTGAGGAAAATGAGTGGGAGAAGGGCCTGGGGACATTCAGAGCTTAGATGTACACTATGATGTCATTTAAAAAGCATGTCTGCATCTATTATCCCACCACCACCACTACCCCCGCCCCCCATACTCCACCTCCCCACACACTACCCACTCCCTTATTTCTCAGAATAGATTCTGGTTTTGCATTTTTTAAAAAGCATCCTATTCGTGTTCCAAATGAATCCTCCACACAAAGCCAGCTTCTGAGCGAAATGATGTTGAGCGATGAGACAGTTGTCGGCATGGTCACCAGCCCCAACTAGTTACGCTTCCTAGTGCAAAGAATACTAGCCTTGCTGGAGGCGAGAGGGCGCAGGGCAGAGGTAGGCACTGGGCACAGGAGGCGCCGGCAGGCCCATGGCTGTCAGGGTACCAGCCTCCTCCAAAGACACAGATGTTGGCTGCAGGCAAAAGCCTGGAGCTCCAATGGAGGCGCTGGGGCCACCCCCTCCAGGCCTGGCAGCCCTGCCACTGGCCCTGGGGCCGGTTCCTTTTGCAAGGGTGGAGCAGTCCGGCATGGCTCGAGGTTTGCAGGGAGCCAAAGCCGCCCAAAAGCTCTGCTCTCAGGGACAATTCTGGTGGCTTCACAGGCTATGGAAGGGCCTCTTTGCTGGACGTGATCACCGGCCGAGGCCATGGCGGCAAGATCAAGTCTGGCCAGATACGGATCAATGGGCAGCCTAGCACGCCCCAGCTGGTGAGAAAGTACGTAGCCCACGTGCGACAGCATGACCAGCTGCTGCCCAACCTGACCGTCCGAGAGACCCTGGCCTTTGTCGCCCAGCTGCGTCTTCCCGGATCCTTCTCCCAGGCCCAGCGGGACAAAAGGGTAACTCCC